AGTCGAACAAGATACGGGGGAAGTCGATCCGACAATCAGGGACAGAGTTACAGACCCCTGAAGATTGAAAAAGAGAAGGGGGGAGTAAGCTCATTTTGGGGTGAAAAATTCGAAAATTCACATAATAGCTCATTCGACTCAGCTCGACGAGCTGAGTCGAATGGTACCAAAATCAGCTCGATATCTTGATTCTGAGCCAAGATAAACAGGTTCAAAATGGTCAACATAAACCTATGGGGCGTCGGCGAGGCGCACAAGCGCCTCGCCGGCGCTTGTGCGCCTCGATTAGGTTGTATAACGGCAGAAATGGCTTAAAACATCAAGTTGACTCATTTTAGAATTTTTACGTCGTTTATTTTACTCTACTTATCAGCGCGATAATTTTGTAAATTTTCTTTTATAATAAATTTATTTTTCTTTTAGAATTTATTTTTATAATGCTTATACTTTTTGAGACGGCGGCGGGTTATGCTCTTTTTAAGGTTTTATGTTTGTTACAATTTTATTAAATTTATATTTTTAGTTGACAGATGAAGGATTACTTAAAGATGTTGACAATATTTGGAATAAAAGTCAAGAAAGGTTTAAAATCTTATAATTAAAATTAGGTCTTATAATAGGTATTAAAAATTTTGAGAATTTTCGAGGGTTGTAGGCCGAAAAATTCATTTTTTTTCTTCCTCCCCAAAATTTTTCCTTTTTCCCATTTCAGAAGGGGTGGGGGAATTCAGTCCTCCTGGCTACGGCCTGATATCTAGAAAAACTTGGATATGAGAACTTTACCCTTTTGATGAAGATTGGATTCCTCTGAAAACCCCTAAAATAAATTTTCCTTTTAGTCTTCAACTTGTTTCTTTTAAACGTTTTAAATCTATTGCTGAAGCGGTTACAAATGCAACAAATATATCTGAAGGGAAGTTGAGCAAATCACTTAAACGAATCCTAAAAAAATCAGTGGAGGAGGAAGGTGAGAAGTTGGCCGTTGCTGATACACAATTGGGGACTTTGATTAAGGTTTTTAATTTTTGTTATTTTTGTTTATTCTTTTATTAAAATTTTGAGTAATACGGAAAAATTCTGTTATAAACTAAAATTTCGTCATATCACCTAGACTCCGATTCGTACAAACAATATGTCGGCGAGGAGCTCGGTAAGCTCCATAAGTCGAACGACACCAAAATTAGATTCGGGACTTAACTGGGGGGAACCAACAGCTTGGTCCCGGATTTCCGACTTTCTTGGATGTATATTAGGTCGTTTCAGTCGTTTCATAAAAATTGTCGCTTTTTGTTTATCAAGTGATAACACAAGAATATTGATTGTTATTTATCGCTTTTTATGTGAAACTTTATTTTTGATAAAAAGCGACCAATTTTTATGAAACGACCTAGTATCTTGACCCATAGGAGATCCTAATTTTGTATCGTTCGACTCAACTCGCCGAGCTTTTTCGAATGACATCGTTTGTCTAAACTTAACCATGGGACCTCGAAATATGAAAAAGAAAAATTCTGCGAGAATGAGCAAAAAAGTCTGGTTTCTTAACTTTCTGAAAATTTTAAAATTTTCCAAGAGTTGGTGCAAATCCAATTAATCCGCCCAATTATGCCATATTTTTTCATATATTTCTTCATATTTCAGAACAGTCTAGAAATTAAATGTCTTCATAACACAGCAATTTCTGAATTAATGCGTTCAATTCGAGCAAATATGGATACTTTAGTTGACGATGAAGCTATCACAAAAGAGATTGCCACAATGCGCTTGGGTGTTTCACATGCAATTGGCCGATATAAAGTTAAATTTAATCCGGAGAAGATTGACACAATGATTGTTCAGGTTTTTTAAATTTTAATTTAATTTCTTATGGAAAATATTTGAAAATAATTCGGTTCAGTTTAATGAACTTATAGTTTACTGGGCACTAGAAAAGGAGCAGGAAATGTATTTTCGATATCTTGATATCTGTCAGAAATGATCAAGTGTGTTAATTTTAAGTCCGAATATTAGCTTAGAAGTCGGTCCGTGATTCGAAATAAACAAATTCCAAGTTAATATTCTGACTCATCTCGCAACACTCGGTTACCTGCTGGCAAACCAAAAATATTGAAAGAGCACTTTCGATCTGTTTCCCTGCTCATTTTTTTCTAGCGACCAGTAAATTGGCAGATTACCCCTTCTTGATTTTAAGGTTAATTTTGAATAGGGGCATTTTTTTGTTTTAATGACTTTTCTCTTTATTAAAAATATTTCTAAAATTTTCGAAAGAATTTTTTCTAATTTTATTCTCTAGGCGGTTTCTTTACTTGATGATTTGGATAAAGAATTAAACAATTATGTCATGCGTTGTCGTGAATGGTATGGGTGGCACTTTCCTGAACTTGGCAAATTAATTACGGATGCTCAAGCTTATGCTAAGGTATTTTGCTTTATCCTTTTTGATTTGAGTTTTAAGGTTTTTGCTTTATTTTTGAGTGTTTTTTCAAAGTTTTTCTCTTATTCGAAAACCTTAACTTAATTAAAAATATTTAATTAAGTTATTTATGAGGAGAGGAAAAATGATCGATTTTTTATTAAAGATCGAGATTTTTGAAAAGCCTGGGCCTGTTCTTGGACTCGGGGTTGGTTTATTGACCTGGACTGGATCCAGGGCCTGTAGTCGAGGAAAAACCCAGGCCCAAGAAAAACCCAGGAAGGAAACCCCCAGGAAGGTCAAAAAAATGCCTGGGCCTGGACTCTGGTTACAGGAAAACCCCAGGCTTGTAAAAGAAATGAATCCATCATCTCTTCTTCATCAACCCCTTCTTTTATTTCTTCCCCATTCTTCTCTTCCTTTACACTTCCACTTCTCAATTTTACCTCTAATTTGACCTCTAACGCTTTAATTCACGAATTTTAATTTCCAGTCTGTTAAAATTATTGGAATGCGTCAAAATGCCCAAACTGCAAAACTTGAAACAGTTTTGCCTGCCGAACTCGTTGACCAAGTTCGATCTGAGGCTGAGATTAGTATGGGTACAGACATCACTGAACTTGATTTGGCAAATATTGGCGAGCTTTGTGATCAAATAATTGAATTGGGACAATATAGAGCTCAATTACACGAATATCTTAAAAATCGAATGAGCGCTCTGGCACCAAATTTAACTGTTTTACTTGGTGAATTGGTTGGAGCTAGACTTGTTTCTAAAGCTGGTTTTTAAAATTTTTTTAGAATTTTTGAACACAAAATTTTTAGGATCTCTTATGGCATTAGCAAAATGTCCTGCATCTACTGTTCAAATATTGGGGGCTGAGAAAGCGTTGTTTAGAGCACTTAAAACAAAGAAAGATACACCAAAATATGGAATTATTTATCATGCGCAATTAATCACGCAATCGGGACAGAAAGCAAAAGGAAAGGTTAGTGAAGAAGTTTTTATTTTTGGTTGGGTTCCTAAGTTCTTATCGATGTTTTTGTTGGTTAGATGATCTACAATTCTCCCCTTTTTTGTATTTTTGTATACAATTTACCAAGGGCGTATCCGGGAGGCTAGAGTCCCCCCTCCCGAAACCGACGCCCTGGATATGCCCTTGCAATTTTTATATGGGGTTAGTCAACTAAACAGCAACCACATATAATCTTATAAGTATAAGGACGTCTTATACTTTTTTGGGCTCTTGCACTACTTGGCCCAGGAAATTTTCGGAAAGGAAACGTCTCGGTGTTGACGGGATTTTTAAAGTATTTTCAGACTGGAGGTATACCCGTATTGTCTTCTCTTTTAACGTATCCTTTTTATTTTTTTTCTTCAACATCATTGGGAATATCCGGAAATTTTAAGTCTGTTGAATGTTAAAAAAATTTTCATTTTTAGATTGCTCGTAAATTGGCTGCCAAGGTTGCTTTGGCAACTCGAATTGACGCTCTATGCGATGAATCACTTGGAAGTCAACAAGGAATTGAGGCCCGTGCTTATCTCGAATCAGTCATTAAAACAGAAAATTCTCGAAGTGGGGTGAAAAAACAACGTTATTCGGGGGTACAACATTCTTCAAAGGAGGCGTATACATTTAAAAAGTTTGTTTAAAATAATTCTTTTTTGAAAATGTTTCTTGAATTTTGATTAGGGTTGGATTTTTCGAACCGACCGACGTTCGAGTCATTTTTTCGGTCCTCATTTTTTTGGGTCGGACCGGTCGTCTTTTTCGGGCTTCATCTTTATTGAACCGGACACCGAATCTTTTTCGGGCCAAAATTTGCGGCCCGGTTCGATCTTTCGAACTTAACCTGACCCCCCAACCTCTAATTTTGTTGAATAAATCAATAAATTAATTTTTATTTTTAGACAAGTTCATCGTTATGACCCAAAAGTTGACATATCATTAAAATCACAAAAATCAAGTGGAGAAGAAACGCCTGTAGAAAAGAAGAAAAAGAAAAATTTTTCGGAATCTTTTGTTGAAGAAGGTGAAGGAAAGAAAGAAATGAGAACTGAGGGAGAAGAGGGAAAGAAGGTTGAAAAGGAGGTTAAACAAGAAGCTGAGGAAGAAAAAGTTGAAGAAGCAACAACAACCAAATCCAAATCTCAAAAAAGGAAGGAAGCAAAAGCCTTAAAGAAGGCTGAGAAGGCGAAGAAAGCGAAGATAGAACTTGCTGGGGAAGAAGAAGAGAGCGATGATGAGGAAGAGTAAAAATTTTTTTTATTTTTTTAAGAGTTATTTGGTTATGAGTAGGGAGGGTTAAGATTTATATGGACTATCAATCTTGAAAAATATGGACGGTAAAATATGGGGCGATATCTCAAAAACGACCTTATCAACATTTGCTTAAACTTTGGGTTTTGTAGGTTTCAGAACCCAATGATTCTACTAAAATAATATGGAAATCCATATCAGGGTTGCCGCCCGATACCCGGCATTTTTTGTACCCGATACCCGAAAAGAAAATTTTCCAACCCGAAATCCGTACCCGAAGATTTTTTGTACCCGCGGCAACACTGATCCATATAAATCCTATCCCCTAGTTATGAGTTTAAAATTTTGTTATTTCGTTGTTGTCCTTTGTTAACTTGTTCAACACAATTTATATTTTTCAATCCTAATTGTTACAAATAAATTATTTTTGAAAAAAAAATTTTCTGAAAATTTTTTTAAATTAAAATAGGGAGAAATAATTTTAAAAAATTTTGTGTTTTTCATGTAAATCTGTCAACATTTACCACATAATTCAAGCAAAAGCAAAACCCTCAGAACATTCTCTACAAGCCAACAATAACATTTTTTGAAGTGTCTCATAGTTTGGATATTCGGGTAAATCCAATTGATTAAAACACGTGTGCGCGGAAGGAAGACGGTCTTGGGAACGGGTGTCTTTTTGAATTCTTAAAGGGAAAAATTAAAGAAAAGGAAAAAAAAGTTTTACGTAAATTTCTGAGTCCCATTCATCCCTTCCAAATGAGCAAATCCTTGAAGAGGTACTTTTGATGTTCCAGTGACAAATTGAAGAAATTTGGCTTTGTCTTCTTGGTCAAATGAGCGTAAGGCTCGCCAAAACCTGAAAATAAAAAAATTTAAAAAATTAAAAAAAAATTAGCAAAAACCATTGAATTTGTTGACTTGTTCTAGTATAATTTTTATATTCAGTATTTACACATAAATCATCTACATCAATTTCAGGAAGTCCAGAAATCAGCAATTCTAATTCTTGTTCATTAAATATTGAAATAAGATTTCGGGGAATTAATTCATAAAATCCTTCCAAAAAGGCATTAAGTTGTTGACGAATAGAACCTTTAAAATGTAAATTTGTTAGATAATATTTTATAAAAAATAATTTAATAATTAGGATTGGAGTTTTCGAGTCGGCCCTACCGAGTCTTTTTCGAGCCAAAATTCAATGCCCGACTCGATCTTTCGGATCGGGCCCCCAAACCTATTTATAATGGTTAGAAACCAGAAAATCTTAAGTGGGGTTAGACCTCGTGTTTAAGAAACAAAAAATTCAGATCTGGACTCGACGAATTTTTAGAATTCCGACCAGTTGCCGATTCCCAGAACCTCAAACCAAATTTTTCTATATCCCAAGGGTTCGGTCTAACCACAAACAAAAATATCAGAAAAACAAGAAAATTTTAAAGTGACCTGTCATTTTCATTTGACACATTAAATGAACATATTCTTGTTTATTCGCATCTGTTACCAAAAGTTTAGAACCATTATCTTTAAGCTGACGTGACGAACGGACACCAAATTCTTCAACTTCTACACAAAACATTAAATCATAACCCAAAGCTTCGATAGAATTGTTTAAAAGAAATTCTAAGGATTTAAAGATTTCGGGGTCTTCACTTTCAATATCCTGATATTTAACTGAAAAAAAATATTTTTTTTTATAAAATTAATTGCCCTATATTTAATTATTATTGTGTTATGTCTATTTTTGTATTATAAATTTAGAGAGTACAGGAACCATCAAAAATCTAATCCAGCTTCATTCGAGAACCCCTTATTTAGTTATATTTAAAAGTAATATTGGGAAACTTCATAGAAAAAAAATTGTTAAACCAGTAATGTCATCAAAAACAAAATGAAAAGGAGAATAAAATTTTAGAGAAAGAATTATCCTATACCACCTATCAATCAAAAACGCAAAAAAAATTTTTGGAGAAAAAATTTCTCTTCCCGGTTATGACAGGGTGGTAGAGCCAGAACGGGACGAAGAAGGAAAAATTTTTGTGAGCCTTCGCAGACATAAAAAATCAGTTGAATATAGTTATGATTAAAAAAGTAAAAAAAATAGGAAAACAATTTCCCCTCTCAATTCAGAAAAGTGGGAGATGAGAAATGTCACCAGCCCCTTCATAAAGATTCTCATTAAGAAAAAAATTGTGGACCTTCGGAGACGATAAAAAAATCAGAAAACTAGGAAACCAATTTCCCCTCTCAATTCAGAAAAGTGGGAGATGAGGAGTGTCACCAGCCCCTAGGTAAAAATTCTCATCAGAGAAAAAAAATTTTTTTGACATGGAAAATCAACGAGATTTTTAAAAATGTAATTTTGGCATTAAAAAATAAAAATTAAAACCGTGAATATTCAAAATATGTTTGTAGAAAGCTCTTGTAAAATAACAATCCAATTGTTTATTGTCATATATTGCTTTAGCAATTAAACGTCCAACAAACTTTAAAAAGTTAAAAAAAATTTTTTTTAATTTAAAAAAAACCTTAAAATAGTCCAAATGTTCAGGATTAACATAAGAAGATTTATTAATCATATAAGTCACTCTATCGCCTGGAGCATTAATAAACAATGCATAATTTGGATTAAAAATTTCACGAGTTATCACTTGATACCATTCACGCAACAAACCACCTTAAAAATTAAAAAAATTTTTTTAAAGGTTAGTCAAAAGATGTTCAAATAAAGAAATATGCGAGAGAATAGAGAAGAAATTATAAATTGTTTTTTTAAGAAAGTGAAGTAAAAACTTATTGGGAAGGGTATTTAGAAGAATAGGAAAAACCAAGAAAATAAATATACGCTCGTTGGTTTAAGGTCCGTAGCCGGGAAAAATTTTAGAATTAGGGGAGGCAAGGGGGAAAATTATTTCCGGTCCGAATTTTGGTGGTGAAGGCGAAAAAAATTTTATTGTTGACCCGCTACTAAAATTTTGAGAACTTTGGAGGGCCATAGGTCAAAAAATTCACCTTCTCCAAATTTTTTTCTTTTTCCCCATTTCAAGGGATTGCGGGGGGCATTTCTGAAATATCCCATTCAGGGGAGATAAATCAGCCCCGCAGGGAAAAGGCACAAATTAGAAAGAGATAAGCTATCGACTACGCGTCAAAGATAACCAAAGAAGACAAATCTACAGCTCGAGTAGATTGAAAAAAATACTTGGTAAATACTTGAATTTTCTGATTAGAAAATTAAAGTAAAATCTTACAATAAAAATTCTAAAAAAATTTCTCACCAGCGTCTTGCCCTTCTTCCCCTTCAAACATTATATAAAAACGAGAACGCCAATCAGAATTGCGTAAGCGATGTAATTCACGAAAACTGTCCCCAAAAATATGGCTTCTACGGACACGTATAGCAATATCTTCTGCTCGGTAACTTTAAAAAATTTGGTAAAAATTAGAAAAAAATAATAAAAATAAAAACCGATTTCTGTCTCGACTGTCAACTTTTTTGAGTTCTTTATGAAAATATTTTCGTTTAACATCAAAATCCAACAATTTGGGAAAATGTGTAAGAATGGCAAAGGCATTGCTTTCCAAACTTTGATTATTTCCTCGAAGAATTTGATTCAAAACTGAACGATGCTTTTCTAGAAAAATTATATTAAATTTTGAATTTTAAGAAAATTTAAATTAAAGAAACCAAAAAAAGGAAATTTCTGAATACGCAAAGAATGGTCAAAAAATATGAGAAAAATACCGATGCCAAAAAATTGAATTTTGAAAATCGTATAAATTCAGAGCGAAGCAGTTCAGTATAGACCCCCCTAACACATCAAGGAATAGTCCACTTTTTCATATTCTTGACAAAATTGGATAAAGATTCAACAGCACTACAACATAGCAAAAAATCCGAATTTTTGACCGATTGAAAAAAAAGTTATGATCTAAACACTAACTTTTTCAAAAAATGTGTTCGGCATTTTTCGATCATAACTTTTTTATCAATCGATCAAAAATTCTAATTTTTCGGTATTTGTAGCATGTTTACCATCCAATAGTACCAAGCACATTAAAAAGTATATACCACTTCGAAAGTTATAGGACGCGCAACTGAACTGATATAAGACTAGACTGAAATGAGGTTTTCCTTCTATTTGACCCAGAAAATGTTAAGGGTTCAAAATAAAAAAATTATAGAAATTCAACTACCGAAATTAAAAAACTAAAAAAATTTCCCATAAAAATTCCTTAAACCAAGAAAGAATGACCACAAAATCGCAGAAATATCAAAAATATTGAAAAAAATTTTTCTGATAAAAAACCTGCAAACGCAAACATTTCCTTTTGATAAGAATTAGCATCATTTAAACAAACGGTCGATGATGGTTGCGAATCTGGCGAATTAATTGAAGTAGATTGTGGTTGAGTTAAACTTTGTAAATTGTCAACAGTAGAAGTTGTTGTAGTTTGTTCTTTTGCTGAAGTTGGTTTTGGTGATTGAGGAAAGAACATTGAATAACAAAGAAAGAATGCTTCGGCGGCTTGAAAATAAAATAAAAATTAAAAACAAAAAAAATTTTTTAAAAATTTTGATAAGACGACTTGCTTGGGAACAATTGCAAGCCAAGAAAAAACCTTCAAAAAATTTTCCTGGCTACTGATTTGTAGAATTGTAGGGAAGTAGTAGGGAAGAAGAAAAGCTATTGGAAAATTTTTTTTAGTTTCTGAAATCTTTCAAAGCCCTTAAAAAGTGTGTAAACACAAATAAGGCCTGAGAGGGTAATTTCACTCAAATTACCCAGCTATCGCTGTTAGGCGTTGGCTCCAGAAGTGAGGAAAAACAATCAAACAGACAAATATTTTGAGTATAATATTTTTGGTAAATTATCATTTCGAGGAAATATTAAAAAAATTTTTTTAGTAATTCCAAGCTTCCCCCCCCCCCACTTTTTTCCTTCCTCATATTTTTAAATATAAATCGAATGTCCTCTCTTTATCAATGTCTCTTGTTTTTGAATTTCGTGACAGGATCCCGTAAAATCCTATCACAGGGAAATAAAGCAAAAAAGAGGAAAGAATAAACTGATCATTGTGTACATTTTTAAGGAAAAAAGAAGGAAAATAGGGAGAGGCACGAAGATTGGAATTACCAAAAATTTTATAAAAAAAATAAAAAAACCATTTTGAAGAGCAAGAATAGCATGATGAGAGTCTGGCATTTTCTCTAATTGAGTTAAACAATCACTTAATTGCCCCCATAGTGAGCGTAATTCATCCACCATTTTTACTTGTTTTTCAAAATTTGGAGAATTTTGGATTGAAAAATTGGAATCCTCCGATTTAGTCCCTTCTTCAGGTTTAGCCTCTTTTTCTTTGTTTTCAGCTGTTTTGGTAGCATCATCTTTACTTGCTGCCTTCTTTGCTTGATCCAATTTATTTAAATGAGTGTAGAGGTAATTTGCTGTTTCTAATGAACGGAGTAATTTTTTGGAGGCTGTTTCTAAGTTGGGAAAGTCTTTTATTGAATCCATATCTGAAAAATTGAAAATGAAAACAAAATAAAAAAGCTTAAAAATGGACAAAAATATTTATAAAAGTCAAAGTAGAGGTCGATGCGGGGATCCCTCGAGGGATTGCGGGATACCGCTCCCGCACTTTTTCCAATTTGCGGGATTATTCCCGCGGGATTTACTCCCGCAAACGTTTTTTAAAGTTACTCCCGCATTCGGAATCCCACAAAAAAAATTTTTTGAAGGCTGAAGCGTGTGCACTGAAACGACGTGTGCAAAAACAATCAGAGTCGTTTCAGCATATGCCATAAAGAAATAAAAACAGTATACGGTAAATCGTTTGAGAATGAGAGGGTTATTCGAAATCGGTTTCTAAACTAATAAATAGGGGGTTCTAACTCTAATAAATACGTACTTATTTTAACCAAATACACAAAAATATGAGATAATTGATTAAAAGTTTTTTAATCAAATAACTTAAGAAGAGTTTTTAGATGAACGGGCCCTGACTGAGTTCCGATATCGCCAAATCGTCATTAATTTAGACTTGAGGTCGGTAAAATCGCATTACTGGGATCCCGTAACGGGATTTTTTCAAAAATTTTTGCGGGACAGGATCCTGCGGGATTAATCCCGTAGATCCTGTAATTAATCCCGTTTACCGCGTAAAACATGGGATTTTGGGACAGGATTTCGTAAAATCTCCTGTGGGATTCTTTCCCATGCCGACCTCTAATTTAGACCCTCAGTTAAAACTTTAAAATTAATTAACGTGATAAATTGTCATTATACATCATAAATGTTTTTTACATCATTTAAGCTTAGGTAAAAACAATTTAATAACGTAATTAAAAAATTTTTATTTCTTAATACAAAAATAGAAATTCCATTTACTAAAAATAATTATTCCACCAAACATATATTTATCTTTGCGTAATACAAAAAAGATTTTTAATTCGAAGAATCATTTGACGTATTTAATTTTAGAATGCTTAAATAAAAGAAAAATATCTCTCATAAGCACCAACATTAAACCAAAATAATTTTTTATCCTTTTTTCTCCATTAAAAGGAAGGGATTAGATAACATATTTTTTACACATATTTTTATACAAAATATTTTTATATAAAACCTTATAAATTTATTTTTAAAATGTTAGTCTACCCGTTTGACTCAACTTTTTGTCACTTTTACAGTAAGTAATCGGCGAAGTTCTCGACGAGGACCGAGTCCGAGGTTCCGAGACCCGAGGCCGATCAATCCGAGACCGAGATTGCAAAATGGGCGAGGACCTCGTGCAACCCTAGTTTCAACCACTAAGGCCCGGATTTATAGACTGATATTAAGGTATATCGCTGGATCGACCTGCTTCACATACAAGTTACCTTACTCGTTTCACCCACATTGATGGCTATAGGCATGGAAGGGATCAGGGCTGTGCGCCAAAATTTTCGCGTGGCGCGCCAAACGCCAAACGCCAATTTTTTAAATTTTAAAAACACGCCAAACGCCAAAAATCGGCCAAAATCAACGCCAAAACGCCAAACGCCAAACGCCAAAATTTTTAGAGTCTATAAAGACCTAAAAACCACTGTTCATCTCATTTTAGCGCCGCAGGCGAAATTTTTTGAATTTTCAAGATTCCCAGAAGCCAGAATTAATCCTTTTTTTCCCGCCGGAGCGAAATTTTTGAGAATTTTGGAGGCAAAGATTCCGAAATTCATCCTTTAAAAAATTAAAAAAAAATAAAAAATTCATAGAACTCCTTGAGATTAAGGTGGATATGAAGGGATAAAGGGAGTAATGAGTATAACAGAGGTCATGAAGAGAGTAAACGATTGACGTAAACGATTGATCTACCATCTATTAGTTTAAGATCCTCCTTTAAGCGCCGCAGGCGAAAATTTTGAAAATTTTGGAAGTCTAAGCAGTAGATTTATTCATTTTTTATGCGCCGCAGGCGAAAATTTTGAGAATTTTGGTTGACTGTACGCAGAAAAATTTCCTTTTTCGATCATCCCTTTCTCCATTTATTTAAAAAAATTCCATCATTAGGGGGTGTATATTTTTGGCGTTTGGCGCGCCAAAATCGGAAAATCACGCCAAACGCAAAACGCCAAAAATCGGCCAAAATTAACGCCAAAACGCCAAACGCCATGACGCACAGCCCTGGAAGGGATTATAGGCTATAGGCTATATTATAGGCTACACTATACTCGCAACTACTAACTTTTGTTAAGGCATCAGAACCAAAATTTTTTGGGTCTTCGGGTATAAAATCCATCTATTTTTGGCCTCTAGAGGTATCCAATAAAAATTCCCTCAAATTGTTATTTTTATTCTCCATTTTCTCTCTTTATTTTAATATTTTCTTTAAAATATCCATATTTGTTTAAATATTTTTAAATGACGAGAAATTGCGAAGGAGGAAAGCTTATGACTTTTAAATCCCTTCTCGACCATTTTTACTCCCTCAATTAAATAAAATACAAAATATTATTTACACACTTATGACACGGCTTAATCTTTTATTTTTTTAATAAAAAATTGTTAGGCTTCCTCTTTATTTTTACTGCTTCATCTATTTAATAATTTTGTTTTCTTCTCATTTTCCACTTTTTTTGTTAAAACAATAACTCATTTTTTCATTATTCATTTAATTGCCTACGTCTGGCAAGACAAAAATCTTTTTTGTTCTAAAGATATAAGTAGTAGTTTTATTTTTACCCCGAGATAAAAGTATGTACTTTTTAAATTGTCAGAAAAATTAGAGGAAAATGGCAAAATCCCTTTTTTTCAATTTTTACAAAAATTCCAATTTTATGTTGCTCTGAATAAAATTTTTTATTAGGGATCGTTTATTGACTGGTACCCAAAGTTTCGGTTAGTCCAGATTTTAATAATCCGGTTTTCTAATTTTTGTTTTAATTAAATATCGCTTTTATTAGGGAATGTTTAAAATATCACTCAATATTTAAAAATCATCATGTTTCGGTTTTCTCCTAAAAACTTTACCTTGAGTTAAGGAAAAATCAAGGGACATTGAAAAATGCCTTGATTTGGACTCGGATCTAGGAGAAATCAAGGTCTGGATCCAAATCCAGGCCCTCTAGTCGACAACAACCCTAATTTATACTAGAAAATTAATACTTATTTTGAGACTGACTCGATATTTGTAATATTTAGTGAGAATAACAATTTTTTAATTTTAGAAAATAATCTATAAAAAATTATGTATTCATTCCCACCAACATCTTCAACAGCTACATGGGAAGGAGGGTTACCCCCTCAATTTGCCCGTTCCAAAATTCTTTATTCTGACGAATTCTGTAAAATGACAGACGAAATTTTAATCATCAAAAAATTCTTTTTTGGGACATTGAGACCTAAAGTTGTGTTTTTGAAGGATATTCGAGTTGTTTATTTTGATGAACAAACTATTGCTCAACGAAAATATTCACATAGACGAATATGGGGAAGAGCACATGGAAAGTCTATTTATTGGGCTGCTGATTTTAAAAGGTAAAGAATAAAATCAAAAGAAATTTCTGAGGGTGAGAGTAAGGGGGTGATAATTATTGTTTTGTAAGTCGCAGGAATGAATAGATCCACTGCTTTTCCGTAGCCGATCGTTAATAACTTGGAACCGATGGAAACCGGAACTTTTCGATTTTTTAGAACAGCGACACCAATTGAATTTTTTGGACTTTCTGAAAAAATGTTAGGATAACACGGGTTATCTCCTGCTGAGTATCTCCTGCTTGATGGGGTATCTCCTGCTTCCAAGACTCAAGACCAAGACCGAAAAACCCAAAAAAAAGTCTTGGAATCAAGACTCAAGACCAAGCTTCTTGGAAGGCTCCAGTGTGGGTTATCTCCTGCTAAGTATCTCCTGACTGCTTTGGTATCTCCTGCAGTACACAAATTATTTTGCTGTCTTTATTTGTAGACAAATATAGAATGATTCCCAGCCAACTCTAAGAGATTTGATTGATAAAAATAAATAAAAAAATTCCTCAATTCAGGTGCCTACCAGGAATTGACAAAGCAAATAAAAGCGATGTAATTGTAGATTTGGAGGATGGAATGCTTAAAGGGTTTACTGTATCCGATGTTCAGAGCTTTTTAAGTGTTGTTCGCCTATGTGCACCTATATCTACAATTATTGTTGATCATCTAGATTTTGCTTGATTTTTGAAGAAATAAAGAAACGGGTTTTATTAAATTGATAAATTTGATCTGCACTATTTTGTATATTTTCTCATATTTTCCCTATATAAATATACTTAAGTATTTTTAATAAAATCAAGATTAAAAGTATAACAAGATTGACTAACTAGGAAAGGATTGATATATTATTTTCTCGAGATTTTTTAATAATAGAAAGAGTTTAGCAAAAGTCTAGCTACCGGGCAGGACAATCGGAAGAACCTGCGACAACGCTGACAGTCCTCGCTCGGCCTTGTTCATACAAAAATGCAGGTGCTCTACCTCTGAGCTATTGGGGCGACGATTAATACTTTCTCTTTTATTCTTATGTTTGTTTAACCCGCGCCTAAGCGTTTTAAATGCTCTAGGTGAATCATCCGTGGCGCGAACTTTGCGGACCCGAATTTTGCGGACCCGAACTTTGCGGACTCGAAATTTGCGGAACGAAAGTTGCGGACCCGAAGGTTGCGGACACGAAGTTTGCGGACCTGATCTTTGCGGAACCAAGATTTTAGGCCCGACACTTGAGTAAAAATTTAAAATTAAAAATTTTATTTTTTGAGGATCCCGGCAGAGTTTACCATAATCCGTACCGGATTCGAGATTTTTTCTTGATTTTTCAAAATTTATATCAATATTTTATCTTAAAATAATTTCAGAATTTAAATAATCGAGAAAATACATTGAAGAAATCATTTATATGGCCAGTTCATAAGGTCATGATGCCTGAATTTATCCTCATTAGCGCCGCAGGCTAAAATTTTTGAAATTTCTGAGGTTCAGTAGACTCTATTGTCGGTCCGCAAATTTTTTGTCCGCAAACCTCAGATCCGCAAAATTCGGGTCCGCATAGTTCGGGTCCGCAAAATTCGGGTCCGCAAAGTTCGGGTCCGCAAATTTCGGGTCCGCAAATTAAAATCCGCAAATTTCGGCGCGCCGAATCATCACTACAAAATTAAGTTCTGACAGTTGAGCCAGTCTCGTTTCAGACTCATGCAGCTATTAATGTTCAGGCTCCCTTGAACCAGAATCGTGGAATTGTCGTAATACAGGAATCGATACTAACCGGGATTGTGAAACTTTTCGATTTTCACGTTACATTTTACGCTACATTTCCAGATATAAATATGTATATAGAAAGATGATACGCCTTCCCTTCGGTCTTTATTTTACAATTAAAAAATTTTTTTATCTTTTTATTTGTTCCGAATTTATTAATTTTTAAAAATTAGATAAAATAAGGTATGTATATTGAAAATAAAGAAATATTAGTAAAAAGTGCCCAAGTAAACGACTAGATTATACATAGAATAGTTAATTAAATCTAAATAAAATGTTAGAAAATTATGAAATTTAGCAATTGTAAAATAAAATTATAGAATTTTAAATTTAGAAATACGATATTTTTTTCTCTTTACGACATCTAGTTGCAGTGTTGCAACCTCTGTCATATTCATGAGCGTATGGTAAATGATGGTGATCATGGATTTTATCTTCTCCGGTGGCTCCATATGAAATAAATTTATCTTTAAATAAATTAGACTTAGTTCATTTTGTTTTCCTACTCAATATCAATGTAAATGTTCAAAAAAAATTTTTATAAAATTTTTCAAGCAGTTCTAATTGCCTGATAAATACCGTATTTTTTGTAAAACAAGCCCCGGGCCGGGGCTTGTTTTTGATCGACATATAGAAGGGGCTTCTTTTAAAGAGAGAGGGGTCTGATTTTAGAGTTAATACGGTATTAATCCTTGTCCATTTATGATAAAGAAGCAAGGAGAAACCATACAATCATTTGCGGACGTGAGTGAGTGGGGGATAATGAGATAATAATACTTTCATTAACAACCATATTAGTAAAAAAAACTCGATAAAAACGGATTTAGTGAAATATTTTTTTAAATTTTGTGCCATTTCTCTCCTTTAGCTAGTCCAAAAGGTTATTCGGCGGCTGGGAGCGAACCAGCATCTTCAGTAGACCGGACTGATGTGTTAGCCATTACACCACGCCGCCTACTGTATAGCCTTAGGAATTAAATAGCTACCGTATTTCCTCTAAAATAAGCCCCCTCCAAAATAACCCCCCCCCCCCCTAAAATAAGCCCCCTCTGGAGGTCGATCGAAAAAATAAGCCCCCCCTCTAAAATAAGCCCCCTTCTAAAATAAGCCCCCTCTCCCATAAAATTTTTAATTGTTGATTAATTGTTGTGTCCTCTTCAGTTGAGTCTCCATAGAAGGATATAGAAGGATTAAAAGTGATTAAGTTGGTATTTTAAAGGGATAAACGTAGATATCGAGGGATTTGAGGTGATATAGATTGATATCGGAGGATTTGTTGGATATCGGAGATATTCTAACTTTTGTAGGAATATCGTAGAATTAAGTGGTAAGTCATGGATCTTGAAAGATAAAGACGGACATCTGGGTAATTCTTCGCTATATCTTCTAAATGCCAACAAATCCATTGATAACACTTTTAATTTATCCAAATGCTAAGCTATTCCAGCTATTCCTTTTATCCCCCAACATCTCTTAATCCTCCAAAATCCCTTGATATTCCTCCTAATCCCCAAATCCACAAGATGCTCCCTCTAAATATCTCAACATTAATCGGTATCCCACTTGATATCCCATTTAGTTGGATAATCTATATCCCACTAGCAATTAAGGGATATATTCCGCATATATTCCTCTTAATCCTTTTTAATCGTAATAACTATAGAGAATCAATGGTATATATAAAAGGGAGATAATAATCTAAGACATTTTTACTTATGTATCTCCAACTTAAAGGCATATCTATGATGAAATATCAATTGATTGAGTCCTTGATGAGTTTTTGGACAAGGATTTTTCGGTATGAGGCATAGTATGGGATGAATTTTATTGAATTTTAGAAAATTTTTTCTAAATGTTTGGTAATAAATTTTAGTTTTCGAAAAATTTAGACATCGGAAAAAATAAGCCCCCCCTCCAAAATAAGCCCCCCTCTAAAATAAGCCCCCTCTAGAGGTCGATCGAAAAAAATAAGCCCCGGGGCTTATTTTAGAGGAAATACGGTATATGCTTTACATGATTTCATTAACTCTTTAAATAAATACGATAACTTTCATAGGGGTGGATGAATATAACCTTTGATGGATCATTCCACAAAGGTATATCAGTCCACAACCAGAACCTAGAAACCCAGAAAAAATCTAGTGGGTTTATAATTTCTTAATAATCACTGTATTACCTCCACAATGTCGTTTATATCTTGCAATTTCATCAAAATTAAATATATCACTATAAACATAATTGGTGTGAATATTTAAAATAATTAGTAAAATATAAAAATTAAATCTCATTTTATTAAAAATAATTAATTTTAAAAATTATTTTAAAATGTTTAAGTAATAATTTGGAAAATGGCTGGAATTTATGTCTAATTTTATTTTAAAATAAATTAACAAAAAATTTTTTTAATTTTAATATAAAATTAAATTAAAATTTGTATAAACAATTTTATGGATTTTAAAATTTTAAAAATATTTTTGAATTAATTTTTGGTCAGAAATTTAATTTTTATAAATACTGACGTAAAATTAATTTAAAAAATTATTTTTAGAAATTAAAATTTTTGCAAAAAAATTAGCTTATTTTAAATTTAAATTGATTAAATTGAGGTAAAATATGGAGGTAATTTTTAAAATTAAAATTAAGGGGAGAGAATAAACTAGAAGCAGAATCGAGACCGAGGCCCGAGTCCTTGTCCATTTTCCATTTTTGGTCTTTGAATCAGAGAAGGACGAAGATTTTCGAACAGCGCTGATTCAAAGGATATGAGAAGAGTTGTGTGGATAAAGGTAAATATCGAGGAGTTTATTTATAAGGTTATAAACATCTCGATCTATAACCCTCTTAAAATATCTCTCAAGATCCATACACCCACTCATAATTCCCCGAAATTGACCGATGTCATTCCTACCACCTAACTCGGGGTTATCACGGATTATGAAGATCAAGGAGAATATTAATGTATTAGAAGTAATATCAGCGTAAACGGAGGCAAATATTTGAATTTTGTCAAATATTTGATGGATTTTGACAATGCACACCTCGAGAAACGGCTCTTGTCCAGTTTATGCGTCCCATGAAAGTATATGCGTCCCATCAACAAAAAATTGAATATTCCTTGGTGTTGCAAAGTAGGGGTATGGTTCCAAAGCATTTCTTCATGTTCGGGATCTACGTCCACTGGGTCTGGGACCGTTTTTTACCCTATACCTCGAAATTTCTTAAAGTTAAAATCGTTTTTCTGAAATTTTTAAAAATTGGCTATAACTTTCAGAAATTTCGAAGGATAGGGTAAGGAACGGTCCCAGACCCAGTGGACGTAGATCCTAAACATGAAGAAATGCTTTGGAACCATACCCATACTTTGCAACACCAAGAAATATCTAATTTTTTGTTGATGGGACGCATATACTTTCATGGGACGCATAAACTGGACAAGAGCCCGAGAAACTTCTTTTTCTGCATTAAAATTTATTGAGTAATTGTTGTGTCCGCACTTGCAGAAAGAATATAAATGAACATGGTGGCACAGTTGGCACAGTCGGTTGTGCTTCTGTCTGGGCTCATTCCATGATGTTTCAATTCCATCTCCCAACCAATGAATTTTTCCACAGCAAGCATGAACATTGTATACAATACTAATAATCTTGATTTTTAATATTTGTTTATTTGTTTTCGTGAAAATTAAATTTATTGAATTAGAATAAGGTTTCCGACAATTCATAGTTCGGACACAACTTTCGACCCAAAATTATTGTCAAAAATTATTTTAGCCCTTCTCCCGTATGCATAATTTAAAAAATAATTTCAATTTCTGTCCCCAGTCTGTATAATTTTAAACAATATTAATTTTAACTACTTTATTAATTTAATAAAAATTTGAATTCAATTTGAATTTAATTTTAAAGTTAATCGACTATTAATTT